CCTGGTCATCTTTGGTAACAGGTCTGGAAGATGTCAGCATTTTGAGAACTTAATAGCTTCATGAACTATGTGTGCAGGAATGTACTTCATCCCAGTGTCAGACACATCCTTGTGTTTTGAGACAGCCACTAATGCTCCTGGGAAGGAAAACAAGATGATTTGCATGTGTAAACTCTAGCTAATGATGATCTGAATGAGAGAATTGAGTGCACCCTCAGTAAGTTTGCAGATGATACCAAGTTGGAGGAAGCGTTCATCTGCCTGAGGGTAGGAAGGCCTTACAGGACGATCTGGACAGGCTGGATCGACGGGCTGAAGTTCAACAAGACCAAGTACTGGGTCCTGCGCATTGGTCACAACAACCTCAGGCAGTGATACAGTCTTCGGGCAGAGTGGCAGGAAAGCTGCAAGGAGAAAAAGGAACTGGGAGTGTTAGTTGACAGCTGGCTAAACATGAGCCAGCAGTGTGCCCAGGTAGCCAAAAAGGCCAATGGCATCCTAGCTGATATCAGAAATATTGCAGTCAGCAGGACCAGGGAAGTGATTGTTCCTCTGTACTCATTACCTCACTGAGGCTGCATCTCAAGTACTGTGTTCAGTTTTGGGCCTCTCACTATAATAAAGACATTGAATCTCTGGAGCATGTCCAGAGATGGACAGTGAAGCTGTGAAGGGTCTGGAGCACAAGTCTTATGAAAAGTGGCTGAGGGAACTGAGATTGTTCAGTCCAGAGAAGAGGAGGCTCAGGGATGACCTTATTGCTCTCTACAACTGCCTGAAGGGCGGTTGTGCTGAGGTTGGTCTTTTCTTCTGGGTAACTGGCAACAGGACTAGTGGGAATCGCCTCAAGCTGTGCCAGGGGAGGAAAAATTTATTCTCTGAAAGAGTGGCCAGGCACTGGAATGGGCTGCCCAGGGAGGCGGTAGAGTCACTGTCACTTGTTGGAAACATCCAAATAATTTTTGTCAGGACGGTATCTCTGATAAAAGCAGATTTTATTCGCGATTGCAATGGCAAGCATCCCGCAAGCAGGAGCACCTATGGACTCGACATGACAGTTTTTATACCCTGTTTTCACCCCCTTGCCTCCCTCCCAACCTCCCCTTTTTCCCCACTGGCTGGGTACTCCAGGTTCACAATCTTACCAGAAGGCTTACATTTGTTAACTACTTGTTAATTTATTTGTTATCTGGTGTCAGTCCTGTCCTCTCCAAGATGTCTCAACATTCTTCTTGTTATATTGATAAGGTGATTTTCTTCAGTCTTTGTTAAACAAAGAGTACGGAGGGGAGGTTCCGATCTTCCTCAATACCTTCTTCAGGCACTCCCTGGGGCATGTAAAGAATTGTCCTTTTAATTTGCACAGGATACTCCTGCAATGTGTGAGACATGTATTTTCAATGCTGGCTATACATAAGTTGTTACTAGCTTATATATATATATATATATCTCCTTTAATTCTCTATTCTTAGAATGTACTCCATCTACCTAATCTCTACAGATATATATATATACACACATACATATTACTTTACTTATATACTGAGTATGTGTTGTTGGGGAAGATTTATCTAGGGGATTAGCAATGAAAACAATGAGAACTCCAATAAAATAGAAAGGCCCCTGAAAAGAATTATTAGTTCTAATAAAGAACCCAAATGGTAACAGAGGCCATGAAATTAACAAAATTCTTATTTTGTTCTGGTGCAGAAACAACATTCGATTCCCACACCCTGGAGATGTTCAAGAAACGTGCAGATGTTGTACTAAGGGACATGGTTTAGTGAGAAGTACTGTTAGTGAGTGGACTGTTGGACTGGATGATCTTGGAAGTCTCTTCCAACTATAATAATTCTATGATTCTACGATCATTGATAATGTTGATTGGCTTCCATTCTGCACAAAAACAATGTTTGAGAGAAAAAAAAAGTTCTCATGCCTTGAAGCCAAAACCAACAAGCCCAGAAACGTAAAGTCCAATGAGTGATTTCTACACAACATTAATGTATTTAGTACCTCTCCTAGAGTCTACCTGAGATTGTGGCTTAACTTTGTACTTGATGCATTTCTTGCTAATCAGAAGCAAGAGGAAGAATGTTGCCCTGGATACTGTGCCACCATCTCTTTCCAAGGGAGTTAGTGAGATCTGCATCCTCGTGAATGAAGAAATTTATAAAGTGGCCTTGTTTAGCACTGACGCTGCTTAGTTATTGAATGTATTCTGTGGCTTCTGACCTCAGTTAGGTGAACTGGCTCTTCCAGTTAACTCATCTGCCTTGCTGTGGAAGTGTAGTGAAAGCTCATCAGTGTTTGAGTGAATCAGCTGTGTGTTATGCAAAAGAATGAGGCTGAACTCATTGGCTTGAGTTATCACGTACTCCACAAAATGTGCTATGAGGATCTCAGCTGGAGTGGTGAATTCAGAGGAAATGGCAGGCTTCCAGCTTGAGCACCTGTTCCCAAGAACTGGGAATATGCTTCAGAAAGGTGTTGTATCAGGAGAACTATTTTTCCTCATATGGCTTTCATTGAGTCACATAACACTGCTGTGTTTGGGAAATTCTACAATATCTTTATCTGTAACATGCTCCTATCTCATTCTAAATACCCCTGAATTTAGTGCCCTGTCAGCCTCAGTTTCTCAGACTCAAGTTATTTGTACCAAGAATAAACCTTGAAGCTAGATATGAAGTGCATGTTTGCAGTGTGTTGCATCACTTGTTATCTGTGAGGAGGTCAGTTTTCAAGAAAAGTGTAAATGGTACTACATATTGAATTATTTCAATGATTTTCTGAATGCAACCTTACGTTTTGTAGGAAAGGTAATGGAATTAAATAGTTTGTGCTACTTACCTGAACCTAGGATTATTTTTTTCCCCCTTCTGGCTCTGGCCACGCAGCTTCCTGATCAAGCAGAAGGAACTGCACATAAAATAAAATATGCCCATTTAGAAGGCTATTGAGATTATAGAATCCTAGAATCACAAAATAGCTTGGGTTGAAAGGAACCTTAAAGTTCACCCAATTCCAACCCACCTGCTGCAGGCAGGGTTGCCACCCACCAGCTCAGGCTGCCTGAGGCCCCATCCAACCTGGTCTTGAATGCCTCCAGGGATGGGGCATCCACAGCTCTTTGGGCAGCCTGTGCCTCATCGCACTCTGAATGAATTTCTTCCTAACATCTAAAATAAATTTCCCCTCTTTTAGTTTAAAGCCATTCCCCTTGTCCTGTCACTGTCTGCCTGCGCAAAAAGTTGGTCCCCCTTCTGGCTGTTAGTTTCCTTCAAGTACTGGAAGGCTGCAAAGATGTTTCCCCCAGAGCCTTCTCTTCTCCTGAACAAGCCCAGCTCCCTCGGCCTTTTTTCATCGGAGAGATACTGCAGCCATCTGATGATCTTTGTGTCCCTTCTGAGGACTCGATCCAGCAGCTGCACATCTCTCTTATGCAGGGGGCCCCAGGCTTGGACACATTACTCCAGATGGGGCCTCACAATGGCAAAGTAGAGGGGACAGTCACTTACTTCTCCCTGCTGGCCACTCCTCTTTCATTGCTGCTCAGGATGGAGTTGGCCTTCTGGACTGCGAGCACACACTGCAGGCTCATGTCCAGCTTTTCATCCCCCAATATTCCCAAGCACTTTCTGCAGAGCTGTTCTCAGTGAGTTCTTCTCCCAGTCTGTATATGTCTGAGGTTGCCTCGACTCAAGTGTAACAAATCATATTTGGCCTTGGTGAACATCATTAGGTGTTCATGTGCCCACTCCTCGAGCCTGTGCAGGTCCCCCTGGATGTCATCTGTCTTGTCCCACACAGTAGGTTTCGAGGGAGGTGAATCTGTCTCCCGAGTCACACCTCCTCTAGTCAGCAGGGGTCTGCAAGTCATCCAAGACTCAGAGGAATAATTCACATCAATTTATTGAAATCTTTCTTAACAACAACTAATGCTCTCAGAGGTAACATTGGATAATTTGCTAATTATGATTAATAGGAGTTACAGGTAAGAAATTATTAGGCAATGGCTACTGCACAGAGTGAAAGAGTAAAAGAAGATAAAGAGAAAAGATTTTAAAAAATGAGGAAAGAGACAGACAGACAGACAGGTATGCAGACACAGCAAAGCAAAGTGGTTCACCACTCCTTGGTCCAACTATGTCTCGGTGCCAGGTGCTGATCTCCAGTAGTGGTGGGTCATCCAGAGGTTGTGTTGGCCAATTGATGACTAATGACGACAGTACAAACTCTTTCTTATAGTCCAAAGTGCCGAGCCTGCTCTTCTGCAGTGATGGCTCCTGGCTTCAGGATCTCAGCAGAAACTCCCCTGCTACTGTTTTCTAGGCCTTGCAAATTTAAGTCAGCAGGTTAGAGGAAGCAGGGAAAAGCCAGCTTCTATCTTGTCTTCATGAGATACAATGGTATCATCTCCAAATCTACTGTATCAGCTGGTTTCATTTGCTCTCAGGACAAATCTTCAGCCAATAAACACTCCTGGGCCTTCCCCTTCAAAGGCAAACAAGTCCAAAGAAATGCTTTCAGATGTAAAACTGTCCACAAAGTGATGCTGATTGCCTCATGCTGATTTGAGACATTCCTTACCTGTCTCAGACAGCATCCCTTCCTTCTATTGTGTCAACTGCACCACTCCGCTTGGTGTCATCAGCAGGCTTGCTGAGTGAACTCGATCCCATCATGATACAATTTCAATGGGACTTGTGCTAAGGAAGTTTCTGAATGCTTTCTGCTGATCTTGGATAGTGTTGGGAAATACTAGGTGTGACTTTGATCCATTTCCTGAGTGCATGGCATAGTCACCTGCATGTGGGTGGAGAGGCAAGAGCTTCTGGTTTCAGCCCAAACCAACTTTCTTAAGGTATAGGGGCTGGAGACTCTCATTTACTCTTTTTTATTGATGTGGAAACATTATGCACATAAGATCTTAAAGTGTCCTTTCCATTTAGTATGGCTATAATTGCAGCTTTACAAGGCTTTTGCCTCTATTTTCCCCATTTCTCTCCCCCTCTAGTTTAGAAATGGGAAGTTCCATATGTTAAACGTCATGTGATTCTGTGACACATGTGTATGTATTTATAGGAGGTGCCTAGTTACTCTTCTCAGACTTCACTGGACATCCCTTCTCAGAACCACTGCACATCTCAAAGAAGTTTCCTGCCACCATGATGACTGGGGGCTTGTCTGACCCTAAACCCGCTACTCCAGAGATCCAGCATCTTGCTGACCAGGTGAGTTGGACCCTGCCAATAGATGAATTCTGTGTAAAAGGCTGAATCTTGAATCTTGTGCAAAGCAAGAAAGACCAAGTGATGATACTGAGCGTTTAAACTGAAGAAGTTGAAAATGGGGATCTCTGTGATTGCCAGTGCATATTTTCTCAGCATTTTGGATAGGCACTGTGCCAATAAGATGAAGCCAAATCACTTTTCTTTCTCTGTCTGTAGGTAGGCATAGTGGTGGCTATCTTTAGTTACTTTTTGCATATAGGTGGAAGATCAATCTATTATGTCAGCACTGAGGTACACGTATTTGAAGGGAGAAAATTCCTCATGTCATTGATAACCAGCAGATCCTGTTATGTCCTGTGGTGCAGCAATTCTTAAAAGGCTATAAGTTGCATCCCAAGGAGCAGGAGGGGGACAACAGGGCACAATAAAGCTCCTTTCATGACTCCTACCAGGTGATTCCAGCAGTTGCCTTCACCCTCACAATTCTGAGGGATGAGTTCTTCCCTCTTTGACAGCTGCCCACAGTGTAACTTATGCCCTCCTTGAGGAAATGCATGTAAGAAGTAGAGGGGCTGAAGATGCTGGCTGACAGCGCTGCACACTGCTGCGTGTGCAGGGCTTCATCTCCCTTTTTTGAGGTGCCTTAGGGGATGGTGTTTGTACTGGCACTGCTCCGTGTTTCCTGCAAGCCTGCAGGCTGGGAACAAGCAATGAAGGAGCCAGGCTAAGGAGAGCTGGGCTGTGTGTGGGGCGAGGCATAACCAGCAGTAGATCCTGTGAATAGGCTGTGTAGGCTGGACATATAAGTGGGGAAGGGTTGGAGTATGAAGGAAGGAGATAGTGGGTAATGTTGACAGGCTGGTGAGTGGGGAGGTCATATACTACAAAATAGAAAGGGAAATGGTTATCTAAAATTGTTTGGGGATATGAATTGAATTGTTCAGAAGCTGTATCACTGTTCCTTCTATGTAGAACTCTGTAGCAACTGTAGAGAATAATACAAATAATATGGTGCGCTGCTATTCTCAGTATCTTTGGGAAAATGAATTACTCTTCACCATTTATTTTCTACAAGGTGAATTTCTACCTTGTGCTGAGAGTGGGAAAGAGAAGTCTCCCTGCTCCTCCCAGTGGCCCTCCCCTGGTCCTCCCCCTGCAACACTTTTGCTGACTCTGTTCCTTTGCAAAACCTCACACACTACTGCAGAGCCCCTCATAAGGTTTTATCGGGAAAATACTGTGAAGGTATGAGTTGTGTTTGGGCAGCCCTGCTCTGCTCCCAGCTGGATAAATGTCACCCTTTAATAATGTCATTCTGTATGATTTTATGCTCTGCTAAGAGTGGGAGCAATTGGTATGATTTGAATGCAGTTATGAAAAGTGTCTGCAAACTGTGATATGTTCAGGACCTGTCAGCTCTTGGGATTGTGTAGTTATGTACTTGCACCTTTGCCTTCTCTGTAGCCTAATCCTTAACAAGCTAGGGGATGCTGTTTGTTCAGTCCCCTTGTTTAATAGCTGTTGCCTAAAACAGGAATGTTTGGGGTTTAGGCAGTTGTTAGATAAGGACTTAGAAACAGCTTTTTTTCCATTTGAGGATTAAGAAGCTGTCTGCTTGCATGCCTGGTTTTACGGAAGGCTCTGTCTGTGAGTCACAAATGGGGAAATAGTGGTCAGAGTTCGTGAGACATCCTAAGTCTGGAGAGGGGCAACACTGATGTTTTTTTCTACTGAGATAGGAACCAAGAGTACCAAAAACACCACAGTTAACTTCTGCTCCTAGCAGCCTCCAAACCCACCTGGCTGGAACAGGACTGGAAATTTTCCTGTTTTCTGGAGTCAGCAGCTCCTGAGCTGGAAGTATAGCTGTCTGCTGTCTGGGACAGAAGCCACATGGAGAAGCCTCATTAGTGTGCAGGGGAGCAAAAGACTCTGGGCAGTTACTTCAATTAGAGTAAGAGGTTATGAGAAACCTGCATATGATTAATGGAAGTTATTGGAAGAAACATTCAGATGAGGGACACGGTTTAGTAAGAAATATTGGTGATAGGTGAATAGCTGGACTAGAAGATCTTGGAGATCTTTTCCAACCTTGGTTGGAATGGAATCTGATTATTCCAAAGCTACATTATCTGCAGCTGCTGTGTAGCAAATGGCTGATGATGTTTACACAGGTCTGGCACTGGCTTGTGGCAGGATACAGTTTAGCTGGACAGCTTGTAGGAAAAAAATCTATTGGGAAGACTAATTATAGATGAGATGTTAAAGAGTGCTGGAGGTAATACTTAAAGTAGGAAAGACAGCTGAAAACTTGGATGTAAACTGAGTTATTTTGGTGGTTCTGAGTTTATTTCATTACGGGTGTGTGCTTGGAAAGCTGAAAATTAGAATGGCTGTCAGGAAGGAAAAACTTAAATATGAACCTACCAACCATTTTTTCCCTTTCTTTTTACAGGTGAAGCCACAATTAGAAAGCAGGGAGAATGAGACCTATAACATCTTTACAGCCATAATATACCGGACTCAAGTGGTTGCTGGAATCAACTACTTCGTTAAGGTTTGTACATATGATAAGAGGGACTACTTTGTAGTTAAACAGTGTAGGTGACTTGCTTCCATTTCTTGCCACTATGCAAATGTAGAAAACTCTCTTATGTGACTGGAGTTAGGAGTATCTCCAGATGTTTATAAAGTTCTTCTGTCACCACCATACAACAGGAATATAAAAACTTAAAAAGCATGCACAGCTTCTTCAGATGTGAATGATAACTTTTTGCAGGATCATCTCACTCAGAGACTACGGATTGTCTTATCAGCTCAAATGATCTCTACCAGCCAGAACTCTGCTCTGTTTCTTTTCAAGGCAATACAGGGGCTTTTCTATTGCCTTTCCGTTCCCTGGTAGTGATTATTTCAATTAATTGCAGGTCAGCCAAAGGATCTGATGGAGAAATATTTTTTTAATGTAATGCAAGCATCCCAGATTCTGCTGATTAGGGCTGCATGCAGGCATGTGTCCATGCTTTAGTTCTGTGCCATCTGTTGCAGAGGTACAGCCCGCATGCTAGTTCTTGCTTTATTTAAAAAACAAACAAACAAACAAACAAAAAACCCAACACTTTCATTTGTGAAAGAAGAATGCTTCACTTGGAGTCCTCTGATAGTGTGATTCATTTTCTTCTGGAAAAGCTTACCCATGGATTTGAGCAGCTTTCTCAGAAGTAGCACGTAAGAAATTAAAGAGCATAGTTTGCAACCAGAATGGAAGGCAGGAAAACATTGCTAAGAGGCAGGGCTGGCTTTCTGTAAGTAGAGCAAACACTGCATTTATGTGTGGCTATCAGCCACTTGACGTGCTCCCTTGACATGAAGAGAATTGGCAGCTGGGGCTGGGTGGGCAGTGCTTCTGCAGAGACGCAAGCATTTGCTCTCATATTATTTGATCTGTGGAAGGACAGACAAACTCTCCTTAAAATATCTTTTCACAGTTAGTTCTACATTCTCTGGGCACTGGGGAATTGTCATATTATATGGCCAATCTGAGCCTTGCTTAAATAAATGCTTATCCTTGTCCTGCTCCTGTGAGATGAGCCTTCTTTTTTTGGGCAAAGTGCTGATGAAGAGTAACAATTCACAGGAAAGCTGTGGTAAAGCTACAAGTCATGCGTGGTTGCATTTCTTCTCTTAGTGCTGTCTTATTGCTGATCTAGGCAATCACATGTGAAGTACTTGCCTTGGTTCCATGCTAAGCCTCATGACCAAGCTGCTCTTAGTATTGACTGGCATGAGCTCTGTCCCAAGAGCCATTCTTTGCAATACTTTGGAATTTTCCACATCACTAATAATTTACCAACAGACTTACAGCTGAGATGTAATCCAGACCAAGACAGTGCCATGCTGTTGTCACCAGAAAGTATGTGAAGACCTCTTAAAGCCAAAGGCATTGAAATTTTTTTTTCATACTGTGGACCTCTGTAAGAGTTAAGCACCTGTTGTACTTGGCTCTGCACAGAGGGGATAATGCACAACTTTGTAGGAAATCTTTGTAAGGACTTTCTGGAGGGAAAGGCAAGTTTATTCAAAAAATAAAAATAAAAATAAAAATCATACACTTGTGGTAATTCCTGCAAGCACAAATACATGTCACGTTGCCTGGCCAGGCACCAATGTGTTTGGAGTGATTCTGAAGACAAGAGATTTGGCTTTCAATTGTCATTGCTTCTCTGCAGTGTTCCTTATAACCATGTGCTGGTTTTGGATAGTTCTTTCTGTATCTTGTAGGAGCTTTCTGGGTCTTGTCCCCACTCTGAGTCGTTAGGATTTACTTGTTGGCTTTTCTCTACTGATCCAAGCTTGAAGTTTCAAGCTGATGGACTGAGTGGAATCTTGATGAGCTAAATAAATAGCATGCCATCAAAACATATTTCCTATTATTCCTTTGGGTGCTTCCAAACTCGGGCAGTCCTCATCTTCCATTAACATGAATCTGAACTTTTAATAATGGTTTATAACAGTCTCTATTACATAGAAACATAGTTTCTGTCGTGACTTACAGCCCAGACTTGATTAAGAGTTGTTTAAGTGGAATTGGAGATATGCCTAAAATTAAGCTCCTGACAGAACATATTACATATACACACTCATCTTTTAGTTGTACACATGATCCTCACTCTCCTGCTGTTCTTGTTTCCAGGTCCAAAATTCTGATAATGGCTACGTCCACTTAAGAATATTTCAAGCCCTTCCTCAGGAGAACCAAGGTCCCAGCCTCACCGATTATCAGACTGGCAAAACCAGAGATGATCCTCTGGTCTACTTCTGAGGGTGGTGAGGAATGGTTCCTCACTTCTGCAAGTCACATGCGGATTCTGTCTGTCAGTAAATGCATGAGAATAAAATATACTTGAAAGCTGTTAATCTACCACGTGTCATGTCTAGATCTGCTGCCTGGCTAAAGCTTCAGCGGGCTCTGAAGTACTAGTCACACCTGCTTCTGCCACCTACAATACTGTAGCTCTGAGTCAGAGTACACTACACCCCTTCCAGCAATTCCTTCCAAGCACTGTCAAGGCAAGCTCGGAATACAAAGCTCAGGCTGTTCTGAGACTATTTTTGAGTGTAACAGGCCACATACTTCCTGGGTTTGCTTTAAGTGCATTAATTACAAGCTATTGGCTGATCTTCAGAAGCTGTGTGAGATAAATGTATTTCTAGGGGTGGAGCTGAGAAGTCAAACTGCGTGCCCCTCTCTAAAAGCAACTTGGCTGTTTGAGGTGGGGATGAAGAAGGGGTGGAACTACTCAAAGTAGCAGGAGGGGCTGCAGCAGAAACAACTCAGTCTGTGTTCAGGCCCTGGAGTAGGGACTGACCCTGATGACTAGGGATGTATGGAGTTCACCCTTATTTGTAGCAACAGCCACCTGCAATGACAGTCTTCAGTTAAGACTTCTGCAGGAACAAAGACAGAGGGCAACCCCGAACCAACACAATTATTTTCCTGCTGGCAGCTGCTCAGGCAGGGTCTCTGGACTTACCTGCCATACAACTCCGAGCTGGTGCTTAGGGGCGAGACATCAAATTGAATGCTTTAAGTCCTTAAGTCCTAAGTGAAGACAATCTGTAGATCCCTGTGACTTTGGGATTGCTGCCTAATATTTTCCATGAGAGCTGAATCTTGCTGTCAGATGTCTTTAAAATGCTCTAAGTCTGGCTTTATCAGCACTAGCTGTCTTTCTCTCAGAAGAGCATTTGGCAAAAATATTTAGCTTTTTGAACCAAGAAAATAATTTATAAGTTTACCAGCAACAAAAAACAACTGTATGTATGTCTCCAGAACTACTTCATTTTAGCAAAACAGGAAATGTGTTACAGTGCAGATTGTACTGTTTGTATATTTAACACTGGGGGTGGGGACTCTTTTGGCAGGTAAGAGTAAAAGCACATATATGGAGAAAGTAGTTAAGAGATCTGTTAAGTGCACCCTTAATAATCAGGAGGCAGAACATGCTCTGTGTAAGCAATGCTACCTACATTGTATATAAGAAGCACAATAATACATATGTAAGTTCACCATGCCTCCTATTCTCAAAACTGCTGAGAGTTTCTAGGACCAAGAATATACTATAGGACCAAGAACATACAGCAGTGTAATGTAAAAGTGGGCTGGTATCCCTCAGTTCAGAATGCAGCAACATCTCTCCCCTCCCCAGTTCATTATACAAGGCATGTGTCAAAACTTCCAGTGCACATACACAGCCTTCCCCTTCCAGGTGGGAAGTCTTCCTTTCTGCAGATTCTCCTATTAGTTTCAGGGACCTCCAGATGCTGAGGGCAAACCCTGCCAATGAAGACAGGCAACACTGAGCAGCTTTTGGTCTTTTCTGTGTCCTCTGTCAACACGCCTGCATTTTCCTTAGCTGGGAAATTTCTCTTACTGCTGACATACCTGCTGAAGCCTTCCTTGTTGCACTCCATGTCCCTCACCAGAGTAAAATAAAGTATTTCTAACTAAAACATAAAAACAAACATAAACATAAGGACATCTGGAATATGAAAAAAGCTTATGGAAAAAAGCTCTGACCAAGATAACTGCCAGTATTGAAAAAGTAGTAAAGAAAACAGTATAACACCAGTGAAATATACCACCTAAATTTGAGAGAAATATTTATTGTCATAAATGCAGAAATGCTTGTCCAGCTGAAATTCCTTTCCATTACTTTTCCTCAGCACTCAGAAAATAAGCAATTATACACAACAAAACTCGTACATCCTCTACTGGACATTACATCCTATTGCTGGCAACAGGATAAGCATTACTACCAAGGGAATGTTTCTTACAAAAGACTGCAGCCCGCCTCTCTCTCTTGCCTCAGGTCTTTGCCAATAAAAAACATAATACAATTTAAATATATGGATATGTCCACAGTTGCAAAGCAGCACATAAAGATTCCGGTTTTCCTCTTGCTCCTTGCTGCAAATATGTCAGTGCTGGTGTCATTCCCTGGCAATTTCCAGGCCAGGGAAGTCCACAAGCATACCACAGTATTAAGCTGCACCACAATCAGTGCAGTTACTCAGGTTAGCGTAAGCAAAAGGTGAAAGGAGAGCTATGTGATTCATTTAGATATTGCACAGTAAGGGAATGGAATAAGAAAAACATGGATTTTCTTTCCAGTATTAAGTTTTTTTAAAAAAAGTTTTCTTTGTTGGCACAGGAATCAGCATTTTACAGCCTACAGAAAATATACAAAAGAAATCATTAGGAAAGTGCATGAAATAAATTTACTAGAAATAGGTCAGTTCATCATGCTTGGTCTTGCTGCTCTGATATCCATGAAGACTCAATGGCTTGTCCTCGTGAGGAAGGCTTCTGAACACCCGCAGGTGCATGAATTCATCATTGCCTACATGAACCTGTAAGGTATGAAAACCAGTAAGAGGTGTGGAGCAACCTTCATCAGGAGTGGGGTTTAGACTGGCATGTTTTGAGGATGGGGCAATCAGAGAGGTGGTAGACAAAAAGCACCCCCTCAGCAGGTGTCACCTTGTTGTGAGGCAGACTGGGAGCTGGGAAACAGCACCTCAACCTTGGATCTGCAAGCCCTCCCTCTACCCAAGATAGGGAATGGACATACAGGGAACTGGTGTTAGTGAGAATCTTATCTGGAAAAAACACTTAAATGCTTTGACGTGTGTGTGTGTGCGTGTGATCACTATAGGCAGAGTGAAAAGAGGTTTGATACTTCGTTGTATCTTTACAAATCCAGGCTTTACTTAATACATTAGTGTTCAGCATTGTGGATGTGTAACTTTTACAAAATCAACTTTCACAAAATAACTAAAGAGTATAAATTATTATGAAAATAGATAAACATGCATATCTCCATTTAATACAGGCAAGGAGACAGGCTGGGAGGTGGTGGGGAATTTTTTTTTTTTTTTTTTTTTTGAATGCACAAATTTTTTTCTATTTAAAACTAAATCACAAGCATTTTTGTGTAGGTAAGTAAACACAAAAAACATTCCAACATTAATTTTTTTTTTCCATTGCCCAGTGTCCTCTACCTTGATGAAGTAGTTTGTCCCTGCCACCAACTGAGTTTTGAACTCAACTGCAGTGAAGACATCAAAGGTTTTCCCTTCTTTCTCTTCTAGCTGAGGCTTCACCTTAGGGAAACAAGAAGTTACGTATGATTGATACAGTATTTAGTACTTACAACTTATGGCTCACGCCATCAGTGTGCCTCATTACCCTTCAGATCCTTATTTTACACTAAAGCAAGGCCAGGTACTGAGGCAGGCAGCCAAGGCAACACAGTGATGCTATTCAGTCACCAGTAACTGAAACCAAAGAACTGTGCTGTTTTTCTACATTCATTTTGACAAATTATTTCCACTGTTAATGTCTCTGCTTCCCTTTCTTCTATATATTTAACAAACAATGTAAAGCGGTTCAAGATCTACATGAACAAGACTTAAAGGTCTTTTAAAAAGACAACGTTTAAAATATATCTCATTTTTTCAACCAGAAAAACAGCCCTTGGCTGTCTTCAGCATTAGCTCCCTTTTTGAACTGCAGAACAAACACATATCCAAAAACCAAACTTGGAAAATAATAGTTCTTCTAGCTTTTAATAACTGCAGTTTACAGTGTTTCAAAATGTAAATATTTTTCCCCAAATATATTTTTCCAGAGTGTAAAAGCTGCACTCAAGAATTCAGAATAACGCCCAGTGCCAAGATGAGCTTTAGTGAGCTGTAGTCTCTCCCCACACTTGACTGTCTGGTACAGCATGGCCATGCAGTGAGGTTCTCAGTCATGAAAACAGGTGGCTTTAGGCTTTGTTTAGAAGAGCATTGTGAATTAGCCCTTGTGTTATGTAATCCTGCTGCACACTGAGGACTCCCAGGAGGAATGTGCCATTATCCAGCCCTCCTCTACTCCAGAGCAATAGTAATTGCAGTGAGATGTTCTATCTTAGTTACATGATTTACTTCCATTCTTCCTATACTATTACATTGCTACTGCCTGCATCCCACTTGCTGCCCTAGGGAAAAAGGAGCACCACTTTGCCAGACCTCTGATACCTGTGGGAACAGAAACAATTCCTGCAAAAGAAGAGCAGGATATGTGCTCCTGTCTCTCCTGTGCCAAGAAAGCGTGAAACCAAACTCTGGTCTTTTCTGCATGCAACAGCCAACCAGTAGCCGTCTCGTCCCAAAGAGATATGAACAAAGCACACCCCACAAATTCTGAAATGCAAGGAGGGGGACATTGCACCAACTCAGCATATTTGGTGTTTCCACTAGAAACTCCAGGCTCCATGAGTACAGTCAGCTCAGAGTCACATGCAGGTGCAGCTTGCTGGGTGTCACAGCAATGACTCACCACAGCATATGATCAGTGGACATTCTGACTCAGTAGGGAGAGCCCAGACAGAAGCAATCTCTGAAAGACTTGTTATCAGCCCACTCTGCTAGAACACATTGAAGATTAGAGACGGGGAGTCCCTGGGGACAGTACACTACACATGAGCCAGCAGTGCACCCTGGTAGCAATGAAGGCAGACAGTTTACTGGGCTGCACCAGCAGGAGGCCAGAAGAAGGGGGTGGTTAAGTGATGACTGCCCATTACTTGTCAGAAAACATTCAGAATGCTGTGTCCAGTTTTAGGCTCCCAGTTTCAGGAAGATGCCAACTAACTGCAGCACGCTCAGTGATGGGCCACCATGAGGTCAGCTGGTTAGACTCTTATCCTGAAGAGAGGAAGAAGGAAATGAATATAAGGAAAGCCTTTTTCCCATGAGAACAGTCCAACAGTGGGACATGTTTCCCAAGAGAGGCCACGCCATTTCCACACATGGAGGTTTACAAGAGCTGTCTAGACAAAGCCCCACACTGCCTGGCATTATAGCCCCTTCCCAAATGAATCACCTGCAGTCCAGTGACAGGACTGACCATTATCATGTAGTGGAGGATCTCTTGATGATTTGCACAACCTGGTGCAAGTGGCCTGCCACAGCTGCAGTGAGAAGCCAAAGGCTGAGCAGAGCCATGTGGAAATCCCTGCTCTGGAGAGGCACTCTGAGGGAACTCCAGGCCAAAGACACTGCTAGGAGCAGCTGCCCTGCTCTGTCATGCTGTGCCAGTGCTACGACTCTGACCAAACAAATGGTCAACAAACAGGACTCTTAAAAAAACGCCATGCAGGTGAGAACTGGCAAAGCAGCAACAGGAAATGCACTGCTTAGGGTCAGCAAACAGGCAGGCTCTACACATTTCCACAGAAATTCAAGCACAGAAGATGATCTGAGAAGTCTGTCTTCAAATGACAGAACATGCTTTCTTTGCAGTCTATACCTGACATCACTGCACAGACAAATTTCAGCTTTGAGTTTTCCCATATGTATATCACTAAGTATAGCAATTTAAACTAGTAGCCAAAACAAGCTGGATGCGCTTTTAAATATTTAGGCAATTCAAATAATTTTTAGATACTTAGGTTAATTCTGAATCCAATAGGATTTCGGTTTTACTCTTCAACTTACTTTTGGAATGACACACTACAGCCTAGAACAAAATAGAAATTCAGGTTTTAAACAAATCAGTGTGCAATACGAATTGCATACCTGCACTACAACTAATGCCACACAGGGACCTTTCCAGGGCAAAATGATAATGAGACTCAGCAGTTCTCAGTTCTGTGCTCCGAACTGCACACAAACTCAGACTGGTGCTTCCGAGATGTAGCTTGGGATTTTTTTTGGTGACAGCCTCATCAGGGTCAGCTAGCCCAGCTTTAATTCACAGACTGCTGTGCCTTGGCATTCAGAAACAAATCTGGACAATGACAGTGCACAAGAGAAGCAGGAGCGTGTCCTTCATCGTTCTTCTCTGGAGAGACACACGCCACCAATAAAGCCAAGGGGATGAGAGCACACGCCGTGAAAGAACTTGTTTGCACAGGCCTTTTTGGAGAGCAAGCACATGTACCCTGGCAGGGGGAGAGCTGCCTCACAGAACAGCAGGAGCAGCGCGGGCTTTTGCTGCCTCTTTCTCCCGCTCCAACAGCAGAAGGTCGGCTGTAAGATTCAGACCGCAAGGAGCTCAATTTAGAGCATACGCTTCACACGTCAGACAGCGCTCGTGTCACCACTGAGCAGCACGCCACAGGCAGCGCTCCGGAGGGCTCCGAATTGCTCGGTATATTCCCCCAACGGTCTGTCAGTCTTCTCGCTCGTACATTTATTTATTTTCTGGGGGGTGTTGAGGCTCTCCGTTCCCCTGCCCAAAGCTGCAGTCCCCCCCCGCGGGCAGGGCGCGGCCCCGGCGCAGCAGGCTCACACGGCACCGGGCCGGCAGCAGCGGTGTGCGCAGCCAGGACAGCCGCCTCGGCCCCGCTCGGCTCCACACCGCACACGCCCCTCCTCGGCCCCAACCCCCTCACCTCGTCCGCGATCTGCTGCGTCTCGCTGGTGGCGGGCTGGGCCTTGGAGGCGCCCCCGCACAACATGGTGACAGCGCAGCGCTCCGCTCTGATCCGCTCCGACCCGCTCCCAGCCGCCCCGCCCGTCGCGCTGCCCCCCCCCGGGCCGAACCTGGCAGCGGGAGGAAGCGGGGCGGGGCGTCGGCTCCCCTCCGCGGGCGGTCGGGAGCTGCATCCGGGTCTCGCTCTGGAATTCCCTCCCACCGCGGCAGTCGTTGTGCCTAACAGGTGTCTGACAGGCGCTGCGCCTTATCTGCCGGGCCTAGGGCACTCGGGACGCCTTGAAATCTCGGAAGATACGTGTGCGCAAACCAGTCCCTCTTGAGGTCCAGGCTGGCAACTCTGCTGAGCTTGTGAGAGAGAACCTGTCTTGCCTGATGTGCAGGATGGGGCTGTCAAATTCAGGTTCCTTCCTAAAAATGTGGTGTGGAGTGCCAAGCCTGCAGGAGTTCCAGAGCATTGGGAGTGCTGGGGAGGCAGAGGAGCTCCTCATCCTCAGTTCTCCCCAGTCCACCGCAGAGAACCAACACCTTGGCCAAAGAGGAGGTGTGAATGTGTCCCATCTGCTGTGTACAATGCCATGTGAATCCCAGTTCTACCTGGACAAATCTGCAGGCAGATAGCCCTCTCTTCAGGGTGCCCATGAGCACCATTAAGGTGTCTGTGAGGGGAGACGATGACTAACGGGCATTGCTCTCAACCCTCCCCCCCCCCCCCCCCCCGGACTTGCAGCATCCTCTGTATTGCTCCCAGCACAGCAGGAAGATGCAGGGATGAAGGCCAGGGCTACGCTGGATGGTCTTCTGCCTGAGCTCTGAACAGCACTTTTCAGGCAGTGCTAGGAGATCCTCGACCCTGTGCTGCCTGGGCTGTGCCAGGAGCTGGCCATAATCTAGGGGGAATGGTGGCCAGTCCCAGTGTTATTACAAACGGATTTCAGCACAGAGACTGTGTGCGCTGCTAGCAATAGGGTGTGGTGATCCCGTCTACAGGTCTCAAGTGCAGGGGTGCAGAAGCCTGGGGGCTGACCTGATGGTGCACTTGACACAGTTCACCAAAGTGATGGAGGCTGAACTGTGCCATGGTCTGCTGCTGTGGACGGGTAGTCATGGCCCCTGAAGAAAAGCCAGCAAGCCAAAAACCTAGAAGAGAGAGCAAAAAGGAACCAAAGCCATCTGCCTTAGAAGGCAGACCACCCCCCAAGCAGGGCAGGTGCTCCAGCCCTGCCTTGCCTGGGCCTACCTTGACCCCCAGCTTGTCCACATCTCTCCTTCCCAGGGCCCAGGCAGGATGCAGGAAATGGGAACTGCCTTGAGGTGATGCTGGCGCTGTGCAGCTCTGTGTGCTTGCACAGTGCCACAAGGCTGGCCCTACACTAAGATGAGCAGGAAAATCAGTATAATCCTTCCTGAATGGAAATCAGGTGACACTGGAAGCTTTCAATCACTACAAAGAAGCATGTCTATAGCATTACTGTAAACATTCAATTACTTGGGAAAGCAACAGCACTAACCTCCTCTACAACTTCCCAACACCCCTCGGTACAATTATAAATCATAGCCCTCAGTTTACCAGGAATGGATAGTGCCTACTGCATAGGCAACCTACATGGGTTTGGGAGGACATGGTGAGGTGCACACAATTAAATGAAGAAGTGCTTCTTTCTTCTGATATCATTGCTCCTCCCTGTACAGCAAATAGGTGCTCTGCCTAGGCTTTGGGCAGAGTGAGGGTGCAGCACTGGGCTGTTCACTGGGATGGTTCCTGTTCCTTATCCATCACCCAAGTCTGCCAACGGAAATCCAGTGCAGGGCTGATACACTCTGCTTCTTGTCCCCACTGCTTCTCTACTGCACAGTCCAGCAAATACCAACAAGGGCACATTCTTTTCAGTAGGGTTTTGAGCCATAGTGGGCTGGGGGGTGGGAAGGAGCAGCCATTTGCATGGGTGACTTCTGATGGGACATGCTAGTGGATGTTCTTGGGTGTGAACTTTCTGCAGAGAGATGTTGCTCAGCTTGTCATCAGCATTATCCCCTGTGACTTACAGACAGGCTTCTGAACATGTGGCTGAGCAATTTTTCTCTTCCCTGGAACTTGGCAGAATGAGAACCTATACCTTCTGTGCATGGAGAAAAATAATTTGGTTACAGATGACCTTCATTGAGGGGTCCTTTTTGTTTTTTTTTACTGATTTTCCCTTGCCTCTAGCACGTGTCACTCCAATAAGGCTGCAGCAGAGGGGCTCATACAGCCTGAGCTTTTAGCTCAGGTAAGTGCACAGTGAGGGTGGGTGGTTCTTCCCCAGCAAACTGAAAAGGGTTGGTCTGTCACAATATAATTATGGCAGACCATTGGAACCTTACTGTGCACCAAGGTACAACTTCCTTCTGTGTAGACTGAAAGGATGAAGAATACCCAAAATCTTAGCAGTAAAATATCAACATAATCTGCTGTGTGCAGAGCCAGTGAGTATCATTCTCCAAACAAGACAGGCAAGTGCTGACTTCATTTCTCACGTTTGTGCACAGTTCACATCTTGTGTTTCCCACACTGAATTCACTGAGTGCTTCTATGCTTTAAAAGCCATCTACTTCAGGAGCTGCATATTGGATCTGACATGTAGGAGTGATTCACTAGCACTACAACAAATTGGCTACTGAACTTAATTTTAAGAGTGAGCCATAATCAAACTATTTTTCTTAGTCCTTTTGCCATCTAGTGGCCATCTCTGTTCACGCATTTAGTTAGGTACAGGAAATCACAGTTCTCAGTTACCAACTCTAAATTAAGCCTGGAGCCTGCAATCAGCAGCTTGGGAATGGGACATGGTTTTTCAGAAGCAATGAGGAACCCTCACCGGGTCCGGTGGTAGAATATGGTTTCCAAAAGTGTGACCCCAGTGATATGTGTTTTCAAACTCTTTCTTTCTTTTAACTTGCAGTGCCATGGCTTTAATAAATCTTGTAGTTTGCAGGCCATACAGTTAGAGTCGGATCACTTCTTACATGATATAACTAAAATTTGAGCTCTCTCCGAGGTGAATATAATAGATAAACAAAAGGGTAAAAATATCTTGTCTGAACAGCATTCTTGCTGGTTCTGGACTTCCACTGTGCCCTCCAGAAGCAAAACTTCTTTTCCTTGTCAGCAACAAGGGAAGGTGGCAAAACAAGTTTTTATGCAGTAACGTCACCTGTAAGTTTTATTTTCTTGCTCTGGCCAGGAAAAAAAACACACAAAAACACAAAACGTCAACCAAGCAAAAAACAGTAACAAGAGAATTGTGGTATTTTCCCCATCACATTCACAACAGTCCTTTTGTCTCCACTCACAATAAGTAGCAGGCCTATATACCTTTCCACAGTGGTTTAGAGTGCCTTCACATGTGATGAGGGGAGGTACTGACATCTTCACGACAAATGCCTGTTCTTGCATATGGGATCTGGGAAGAGGGAAGCAAGTTTTACAGTATTATACAGCCTTGCCCTTCCTGCCAGGTTGCCTAGGGTCACTCTTTCTTTCTTCAGACTGCAACAGAAATCTGTTCTAAGGACTCTCTTTCTTCAACATTTGCAGAATGCAGAGGAACCAGGCACACCATGCACAGTCAGAAGCACTTATGTTTACTTTCAGGGTGTTGAACAAGAGCCAGGACTAATGAAGTTCCAATGTGCTTTTTGAAGTCCTTACTCTTGTCAAGGCATGGTGGCATGGTGCACCCTTCCTGCTTTAGGTGCTGTCTCTTCAAGATGGAACAAGAGGGACATAACCTAGTTGAAGGCCTACAGGAACCAAACATCCAATTTACTCATTTGTCTGTTTGTACGTCCCAGAGCCCAACTCTGTACGTTTTATTTACTTCATCCTCTACCAACATGCACACTTGCAATATTAATCTCAAATATTATCAAATTTGGGGGCTATTTCTCCATTTCACCTTGTTTCATTGGCTTTGTATCAGGCCCACAAGTATTGTCACAACCAGCGCAATGCTATGTGTGGGTATGAGGCGGATTAATATGGCAAAGCACAACACTGACTATGGTGTGGAAGGGTTAGCCACGTATGCCATGTGGAATATTACAGCAGCAACACTTTGTTAAGCATACACCTACTAGCGACATAATCAATCACAAATACATCTCATTGTGCTCTCGCAGCAATCTCCAGGGGGATTTACAATCTGTTCTCCCCTTCCACCAAAGCAGGCAGGCTGGAGGTAAAGCTACATCTGCTGGAAGAAACCAGTAGGAACCTAGTAGCTTGGTCTAGTGCAATGGAGTCTATGAAGGGTATTGTCCAGGATTTCCTGCTGGGCAGAGAGGAGAAATTGGGAGAAATGAGGAGAAATTACTAAATATAAATAGCAGGGTGCTCTGTCACATTAAATACTTTACATGTTCACACCCTTGGCTGTACACAGCATGCAGGATGTTGGGGGCTTTTTTATTTTCCCAATGACCGTGCTTTCCCCAAGTGAAACCGTGTATCTTGCTTTTGAACAGCTGAGAGTCCTGATGCACGTGGTTACAGATCACATATACTGGATAAAGAGGGAATATTATACATAGTGGGAAAGAGGAATATTATACATAAATGTAAAAGCAGAGTATTGTGGAATTGCTCAGTGCCTCCCATAGTCAGCTGAGTTGCAGTCTGGCAGGAAAAGCTTACAGAGGCAAGACAGTATGCAGAGTTCTGTTTAAGCCCCACCAGAGGCAATCTTCACTTGTCCTCCCCACATGTCCTGATTTCAGTAAAGCAACTGCAAATTCAGTTCAAGGCTCCCCAGACACAGGCTTCAGGTAGTCTTTCCTCTGGAGGCACGTGTTTTACCCGGCTGGCGATAGCAACAATGTGTGGTGGGACTGTGTCACAGATATGTATCTTTGTTATCTTTCCCATTCAGAAGCAAGAGGTGAGCAAGTTCCTCTTGGGGAAGTGCTTTTCATGACCTTCTTTTGTTAGGAATGTACTGTGTTTTCTGTGACAGAGCTGCCTCCAGTGCCTATAAAATTTCGGGAGTTAGCTGATGGCAGGGAGGGCTCTGCCTCAGGGTTTGGTACCTCTTCTTTGTTGTCTCCCACCACCGACTCCTGTGAACTGGTCTCTGGGCTGGATGCTGTCTGGAAGCCAGGCTCGGCGCTGAGG